AAGGGAGGAGAAGCGTCATGAGGGTCACAGCGGCTCAGGCGTGTGTGGTGATATTTGTTTCTTCTCTTCTGCGCATGAAGGGTGCGGGCAGGGCTGTCAACTACGTTTAGTAATGTGGCATTTGTGGGGGGTGGGGGGGGGGGGGGGGGGTGTGAGCATTCTTAGTAGGTGCAATGGCTGCTATGGCACTTGGTTCTCAGATTTTTCTAACCCCAGCGTGCAACCCTGCAGCAAGTCGAATGCTGTCAACGCTGAGCGCCACAAGACCATGCCTGGAAGCCCTAAACCCCAAGCCCTGAACCCTAAACCTAAGACCCAAACCCTCGGAAACCCTAAGCCTTCACCCCTAGACCCTAATCCGACTCTTGGGGGGCAGCTGCCACTGTCGGACCTGCAGAACTAAGCCCTACAGCACCCAGCGCCCTCCCTGGTTTAGGGTTTTAGGGTTTTAGGGTTTAGGGTTTAGGGTTTAGGGTTTAGGGTTTAGGGCTAACCCGGAAGCCCGCAAGCTCAGCAACCACACACAAGACACTTCCCAAGCCCTAAACCCCTAAGCCCCTAAGCACATAAACCCTAAACCCTACTGTAAAGTCGAAACCCTACTTGGAAGCTCTTTTGGCTTACCAAGTCTACTTAGTATCCCCTAAACGCCCACCGCCGGATGGCAGAGTTGCCTTGCCGGTGACACCTCACAGCCGATATCGACTTGGGCACTCATCCTGGGTCCTTGCCGGTAGTTTTGTGCGTTTGGGGTTTAGGGTTTAGGGCTTAGGCTTCAGGGTTTAGGGAAAAGTGTACACTTTCAGTATAGGGGATTCTAGTATCTTGGGCCTGTAGGGTGCAGGGCGGAATGGAGGATGTGTGGACTACTGGCCCTCGTGCTCACGGCTGTGCTCTAGGACCCACTGCCGTCTAGCCTGCGCGCCTTCGGCGTCTGTGCGGGCATTTTTTTGAGTCCGCGGCTGCTTGCGTGGGGTGGACAGTCAGGGGCCTTGAACCTTTGCCGGAGGGTCGCCAATGACGCTTGCGGACGCTCCCTGAGATGGCGGAGGGGACGGCGCCCTTAGGCAGCAGTGCCCTGCGTGCCGAGTCCATCCATCCATCCATCCTAAACGCCCTATTAGAATCCCATAACCCACCTTCGCAAGTACTTACTAAGCAGCCAAAAGGGCTTCCAAGTACTGTGCATACTGCAGTTCGAAGCCGTGCCCCCACCCCCAACTAGTAAAGGAGGGTTCCGGAGGAAAGGCCCTTTGTCAGTCCCCGAACTTGTTTTGTTCCCTTTCGAAGAAGAGGCCTCAAAGCCCCAAACCCTCAAACCCGAATCCTACCCCATACGCTAAACCCTAAACCCCAAACCCGAAACCCTAAACCCTAAACCCTAAACCCTAACCCTAAACCCTAAACCCTGAACCCTAAACCCTAAACCCTAAACCCTAAACCCTAAACCCTAAACCCTAAACCCTAAACCCTAAACCCTAAACCCTAACCCCCAAAGGGACGAAGGTTTCAAGAGCTGATTGCGTAGGTCCTGGTCGAGGGCGGGAAAGCTGTGGGCATCCGTCTGAAGGGCGGCGAAGAGGAGACGCCTTGCTTCAGATCACCCTGAAACCTTGTCAGGGTTTACGGTTTAGGGTTTAGGGTTTAGGGCTTAGGGTTTAGGGTTTAGGGTTTAGGAACCCCCAAACCTAAAAGCCCAACAACTCTCGGCCCTACTCCCGTAAAGCCCTCGAGGCCCCCCCACACCGACATAAGGCCCTCAAGCGCAGTTGGCAGCCCGAGACGAGACACTGGGTGAACATGTAGAAAAGCACCCAAAACCCTGACACCCCAAAGCCCTACAACTCTAAACTCTAAAACCCTAAGACCCTAAAACCCTAAGACCCTAAAACCCGAAGCCCTAAAAATCCGAAACCCTAAACCCTAAACCCTAAGCCCGAAACCCTAAACCCTAAAACCCTAAGCCCCTGAAACTTACCTCGGCCGGGAGCCTCGAAGCCCAGAAACCCTGAGGCCAGAGGCCCCACACCCCATCATCTACAGGGGCCTGAATAATAAGAATAGGGTTTGGGTTTAGGGTTTAGGGTTTAGGGTTTAGGGTTTAGGGTTTAGGGTTTAGGGTTTAGGGTTTAGGGTTCAGGGTTTAGGGTTTAGGGTTTAGGGTTTAGGGTTTAGGGTTTAGGGTTTAGGGTTTAGGGTTTAGGTTTAGGGTTTAGGGTTTAGGGTTTAGGGTTTAGGGTTTAGGGTTTAGGGTTTAGGGTTTAGGGTTTAGGTTTAGGGTTTATGGCGTAGGGGCCTTGATGATTGGAACGGGGTTTTGGAGGTCATGATCGTATGGATATAAAGGAGCCATAAGGAAATACCATTAGTAATTATTCCGAGCCCTCTAGTACACACAACCCTACTTGGAGGTTCATGGTGCTTAGCAACCCAATTATAAGTGTTTAGGGTTTAGGGGTTTACCAATTATAATAACTGTACTTATGACCCCATTATAACCCGATCAGGGTATAGCTACGCTTAGAATTGGGTTATCAAGTACCCTGAAACCTACACCTCTGGAAATCTGAAGCTTTCAGATGAGGCTTTCGAAGTTCGGATTAGGGGGGCGTGTGGTTGAGTTAACTGGCAGAGGCTCTCGTTTAGCGTGTAGAGGTTCTTTTGTAGCTTTGGGTTGCAGGGGTTAAATATTTAAGGTTCCAAAGCCCAAAGCCCTAAACCCTACTGCAAGTCCTATATTTTAAGCCCCAAGCCCTAAGCCTTGAGCCCTAAGCCCTAAACCCCAAACCAAAGAGCGACTTCCCAAGGAAGGCAGATGTCGTCGTGGTAAATGCCGACACGCCATGGGCGTACAAGAACTTGCTTCCCAACGTGCAGGCCGCCCACTTTCCAAACCACCCTCAAACAGGCAAAACCCTGAATCCCCACTTCCTGACCCCCCCCAAACCCCTCCAGGCCAGCAAGAACTCAGCACCCGCGCAGTTGAACTCCAAACCCCAAACCCCAAGCCCCAAACCCCAAACCCCAAACTCCAACCCCAAGCCCCAAACCCCAAACCCTCAACCCTCAACCCCAAACCCTAAGCCCGTAACTTTGGTGAACGTCGAACCCCGAAGCCTACACCCCAAACCTTAAACCGAACCCCAATAGCAGTCCTATCAGGCACCGCCTGGTCAAGAGGAGCCACGGTGCCCCCAAGGGGTTTTAGGGTTTACGGTTCTGGGATTTAGGGTTTAGGGTCTTGGGGTCTTTGGGTGTTGCCCGGATTTTTGGTTGAGGGTCAAAGGTTTACAGTGTTTAAGGTTTAGGGCCTAATAGGTTTGAGCTCTTCAGGACACGGTTTTTGGGATTTAAGCTATGAGGCTGGTCAGCTGGATGAAATAGTGTGAAGAGCTGCAATGATTTACTGTTTAACTCAATTTAGGGGCTAGGGGCTATGACCTAAACCCTAAACCCTAAACCCTAAACCCTAAACCCTAAGCCCTAAACCCTAAACCCTAAACCCTAAACCCTAAACCCTAAACCCTAAACCCTAAACCCTAAACCCTAAACCCTAAACCCTAAACCCTAAACCCTAAACCCTAAACCCTAAACCCTAAACCCTACCCTAAACCCTAAACTCTAAACCCTAAACCCTAAACCCTGAACCTCCAAGTGAGGTTTTAGGGTTTCTTGAGAACCCTGAGTCCATGAGGAGCCCAGTGTCGCGGCGACAGCCGATGACTTGGATGGACGGGTGCCCTGGCCGCAGGTTTAGGGTTTAGGGTTTAGGGTTTAGGGTTTAGGGTTTAGGGTCTAGGGTTTAGGGTTTAGGGTTTAGGGTTTAGGGTTTGGGGAAGGTTTTTGGGCTTTTGCTTTTGTGTTGAGGGCTCAGGCTTTCTGGCTTTTGGCTTCCGTAGTCTTGGTACATGCTCTTGCTCCTGTGGGATGTTGCCTTCCAGAGGCCTGCAGATGGTCCGGATGATCACTCCCGTACCATGGGAATCAGAGGGTTTAGGGTTTAGGGTTTAGGGTTTAGGGTTTAAGGTTTAGGGTACCCCAATCAAACCCGAAATCCATTCAGCTGGAGTTGCAAAGTGCGCTTCTTTTCAACCATGTGATTTGCTGCTGCTCCTGCCGTCCAGATCCCAAACAAATGCGCACACCCCACAGCCCCAGCAGGAACCCTAAACCCTCAACCCCAAGCGCTAAACCCCAAATCGCAGACCCTAAGCCTGAACCCTTTGAATCCAAATCGTCGTGCCACAGCCCCCCTAAACGCCAAACCCCAAACCCCAAACCCCAAACCCCAAACCCCAAACCCCAAACCCCAAACCCCAAACCCCAAACCCCAAACCCCAAACCCTCAACCCTAAACCCTAAACCCTAAACCCTAAACCCTAAACCCTAAACCCTAAACCCTAAAGCCTAAACCTAAACCCTAAAGCCTAAACCCTAAATAAACCCTACCCTAAACCTTAGGAATACTCCTGTGGCGTGATCGCCATGTTCTGGGCCCACGCCTGAGAGTTGCATCGAGGGCTTCAAGCTTCGGTTTAGGGTTTAGGTTTGGGGTGTAGGGTTTGGGGTGTAGGGTTTAGGGTTTAGGGTTTAGGGTTTAGGGTTTAGGGTTTAGGAGCACTTTGACAGGGCTTGTTGTGGCTCAGGACTAGACTTCAGCCCTCTGAGTTTCGGGTCTAGGGCCCCGGCCCTGAACCCCCACGCCTGTAGGGTCTAGGGTGTAGGATGTAGGGTGTAGGGTTTAGGGTTTAGGGTTTAGGGGTTTCAGGTGTAGGGTTTCAGGTTTATGATTTAGGGTGTAGGGGTTAGGTTTTGACCCTATGGATTGCCGGCTATACGGTTTTTTGACCCAAGGGTTTGTGCTGAGTAAGAGGCTGGGGACATGCCGAGCCTAAGGGTTTGGGGTTTACCCTAAAACCTCAAGGGTTAGGCCCTAAACCCTAACCGTTAGGGTTTAGGGTCTAAGGCCCAAGGCTAAGGGTTCGGAGCTTTTCTGGCTTGGGCTCTAGGGCAAAGGGGGTTCAGGGTTGTTTTTTTCGCAACTCTGAACCCTGCAAGCAGAAGCCCCCAAGACCCTAAACCCTAAACCCTAAACCCTAAACCCTAAACCCTAAACCCTGGCCTACAAGCGGGCACAGCAAGGCCGTGGACTGCAAAGTGGACTACCTCCGCCACGGGCCCAGCCACTGAAGAAACTCGGGCTTTGCTTAGGATTTCTGAAGCCCAGGCTACGGGGGGCTTGGGGGGGCTTAGGGGGGCTTAGGGGGCCTAGGGGTGTTTAGGGAGGTTTTGGGGGCTTTAGGGGTGGGTTTAGGGGGGTTTAGTGTAAGCCCATAAGTCTACATCCCTAGGCGCTTGACACCAGCACCTCTGAACTTTAGACCCGTAAACCAAAGACTGGAAGCACCAGGTCACCACACCATTTTTCTCGGAGCTCCAGAGGACGAGGCGAAGGCGCCAGGGTCCGTCGAGGTCGTGGGTCGCGATCGTTCCTTTATTCAGGGTCTAAGGTTCTAGAGTTTAGGGCTCTTAGGGTTTCATGTTTACAACGTTTCGGTTTTTTTCTCGGCCCGCGAGTTTTGTGATCGTAGCTCGAGCCGGTTAGCCTCAAGCCTGTCACACACAAACCCGCCCTTAAGATTTCTCACGAGTGGAACCCGGAACCTTGTTGAGGGTTTTTGGGGCCTGTCTTTTTTGAACGTCCCCCCCCCCTCCGCCAATACAAAACTCTAGACCCTAAACCCTACACACAAACCCTAAACTGCAAACCTTAAACCCTAAATCCCAAAACCTAAACCCCAAACCCTAAGCCCTAAACCTCAAACCCGAAAGCCTAACTCCAAATCCGGGCCATAAACCCAAGACCGCCAAGCCCAAGGCCCGCCCGAACCCCAAACCTTTGCACCCTATAACCCTACCGGGAGGCCCTTTTGACGTAGTAAGTAGGGTTTCAGGGTTTGGGGTTTAGGGTTGTGGGAATCATTATAGTTTTAGGGGGATACTAAGTAGACTTACTATGTCTCCACACTGTATAGACACTTTAAAGCTCTGCACCCTCAACCTTCAGGGTAGACCCTGACCCCCTCTGTACCCCTTAGTCCTGAACCCTCAACTCCCTCAACTCCCTCAACTCCCTCAACTCTGTCAGCTCCGCTCAAAACTCCCTCAACTCCCTAAACCCCGACCCTAAACCCCAAACCCCAAACCCTAAACCCTAAACCCTAAACCCTAAACCCTAAACCCTAAACCCTAAACCCTAAACCCTAAACCTTGAACCCTCAACCCTCAACCCTAAACCCCAAACCCTCAACCCTGAACGAAGAGGCCTGGGAGCCGATCACCAGCGCGGCAGCGATACCTGAAAAACCCAACTTCTACGTGCACTGCCCCACAAGGCGTATCCGGGTTGGGAGTTTCAGGGCTGAGTTTAGGGAGTTTAGGGTTTGGTGTTTAGGGCTTAGAGCTGGAGTAGGAATTTGGGGGGCTTGCAGGGTTTTGGGTGGAGGGCTCAGGGTTTTTAGACTGGCGGCTTGAAAGTACCAAAAACCCTGCCTTGCATTGCGACGCCTGCAGCCTGAAACCGCGCCCAAGACTTAGCTTCAATTCGGTTTGGGAAGTTGAGCTTTTTCTTTTTCAACTTGTTCAGGGTGTTAGGTCTAAACCCTAAACCCCCTTGGCCCCAAAGCCTAAACCCCAAAATCCACAACCCAAAGCCCCAAAACCAGTAAAGTCCCAAAAGCCAGGGACCCCCAAAGAGCCCAACGCCCCATAATTAAGGAATAGACCACCCTAAACCCTAAATCCCTAAACCCTAAACCCCACACCCTAAGCCCTAAAATCCTAAAAGCCTAAAACCCTAAAAGCCTAAAATCCTAAAACCCTAAAACCCCTAAATCCTAAAACCCTAAAACCCTAAAACCCTAAAACCCTAAAACCCTAAACCCTAAACCTCTCTTGCATATATTATTTAAATGTTGGAGAGTTATTGGGCAAGGTCGCCGTTGTACTGGGCAAGGTCGCCGTTTTACTGGGCAAGGTCAGATCGGTCAAAAAACTCGACCTTGCCCAGTAAAACGGCGACCTTGCCCAGTAAAACGGCGACCTTCGGGGCCGAAGGTAGCATTTTTACTGGGCAGGGGGGGGTGTCCGAAGGTCGCCGTTTTACTGGGCAAGGTCGCCGTTTTACTGGGCAAGGTCGCCGTTTTACTGGGCAAGGTCGCCGTTTTACTGGGCAAGGTCGCCGTTTTACTGGGCAAGGTCGCCGTTTTACTGGGCAAGGTCGCTGTTTTACTGGGCAAGGTCGCCGTTTTACTGGGCAAGGTCGCCGTTTTACTGGGCAAGGTCGCCGTTTTACTGGGCAAGGTCGCCGTTTTACTGGGCAAGGTCGCCGTTTTGCTGGGCAGGGGCAAGGTCGTTCTATAAGTAAAATATTTTTCTTAATGTTGTGGGATTCTTTGGGCGGGTGGGCATTTTCCTGGAGTAATTGCTTGACTAGTGAATGCCTGGACTTGAGATGCTGAACCCTCAACCCTCAACCCTAAACCCTAAACCCGAAACCCGAAACCCGAAACCCGAAACCCTAAACCCTAAACCCTAAAACCTAAACCCTAAACCCTAAACCCTAAACCCTAAACCCTAAACCCTAAACCCTAAACCCTAAACCCTAAACCCTAAACCCTAAACCCTAACCCGGGGGTATTGGGTTTTTTGGGGACCCCCGGGAAGGACAGATCCCTCGGCCGCTCCGGAGGGCTGCGACGCTTGGGTCTAGGCGTTGCTTTTTTGGAGGGTTTAGGGTTTAGGGTTTAGGGTTTAGGTTTTAGGGTTAGGGTTTAGGGTTTAGGGTTTAGGGTTTAGGGTTTAGGGTTTAGGGTTTAGGGTTTGGGTTTAGGGTTTAGGGTTTAGGGTTTAGGGTTTAGGGTTTAGGGTTTAGGGTTTAGGGTTTAGGGTTTAGGGGGTTTAGGGGGTTTAGGGGGTTTAGGGGGTTTAGGGGGTTTAGGGTTTAGGGTTTAGGGTTTAGGGTTTAGGGTTTAGGGTTTAGGTTTTAGGGTTTAGGGTTTAGGGTTTCGGGTTTCGGGTTTCGGGTTTCGGGTTTAGGGTTTAGGGTTGAGGGTTGAGGGTTCAGGGTTCAGGGGGTTCAGGGTTTAGGGTTTAGGGCTTTAGGGGTGTAGGGGTTTAGGCTTTAAGGGTTTAGGAGTTTGGTGAAGGGTTTGGGGTTTACGATTTCAGGGTTCAAAGTTTAGGGTTTTGGGTTCAAAGTTTAGGGTTTCGGGGCTTCAGAGGTTTAAGGTTCAGTGGGTTGGGGTTAAGGCTTGAGGTTTTGGGGCAAGGGTTTTATTGCTTTCGGGTCTCAGCTGTTAACGGCCTGAGGGGGGGCTGCTTGAGCACGTCTGCATGACGAATTTCAGAGTTCACATGGGCAAGCTTCTCTTGCTTGGAGGTTCAGGGTACGTAGTAACCCAAATATGAGTGTGCTTCAACCCACTTACAAGCTCCTCAAGTACCCGAAGCCTTGAGCCCTAAACCCTAGACCCTAAGCCCGAAGCCCCAAACCCTAAACCCTAGTCTGGCCATGGGTGTAGTTCTAGTTCGGTCAATGAGTATCATGAACCTCCAGGTGGGCCCTAAACCCTAAACCCTAAACCCTAAAGCCTAAGCCCTAAACCCTAAACCTAAATGGTCCTAAACCCTAAACCCTAAACCCTAAACCCTAAACCCTAAACCCTAAACCCTAAACCCTAAACCCTAAACCCTAAACCCTAAACCCCTAAACCCTAAACCCTAAACCCTAAACCCTAAATTTAAGAGCCTCCGGCTCAAGCCGCCGACCCCGCTGGAGCATAGTTGAGACCCGCTCGCATGGAAGATCATCCCGGCAGAGTTCTGTGAATCGTTTGGGGGGGGGTAGGGGGTAGCACCAGGACAAGCTCAAGCCAAAAAGACAGGTGGGTGGGGGTGGGGGGGGGAGGGGGGGGGGGGGGGTGGGGTTGGTGGGGGGTGGGGTTGGGGGGGGGGGGGGGTGGGGGAGGGGGGGGTTAGGGGGGGGGGGGGGTTGGGGGGGGGGGGGTGGGGGTGGGGGGGGGGGTGGGGGGGGGGGGGGGGGGGGGTGGGGGGGGGGGCAGCGGGGGGGTGGTGATGATTTGCGAGGGCGCCCCAACCCCCCCGTGCTGAACCCCCTGTTTACGCTGTGCGGGTTGGCGCGTCCTCCACGAAAAAATTGTGCACCGACCCCCCCCCACCCCCCCCCTCCCCCCCCCCCCCCCGCGTTTTGGGGGGGTAAGGAGGGAAAGAGGGAGGTTTCACCTCCTTTTCCCATCCAACACGCCGCCAGGGTCGGCGGACCCTGAATCCTAAACCCTAAGCCCTAAACCCTAAACCCTAAACCCACGCAGACATGACTTGAACAATCTTGTTTGTCTTTGTCCCATCTGGCCGAATCTTCGCTCTCTGTGCCCTCAAAAATGGAGCTCGTGCAACAAACCTCGCGTCGGTTTAGGGTTTAGGGTTTAGGGTTTAGGGTTTAGGGTTTAGGGTTTAGGGTTTAGGGTTTAGGGTTTAGGTTGTGAGAGCCACAGACAACACGTTCGATTGGTTGTGTCGCCGGGTCCGGGTGTAGGGTTTGGAGGATTTAGGGTCTCGGCTTGCATTTTACGGATCATCTCATCATTGCCTTCTGATGGATGGCTAGTGAGTAGGAGGCAGAGCAAGCTGTAAGTGACAGATGCGATCGGTCTGGTCTTGAGGGGTTTTGAGGGGTTTTGAGGGGTTTTGAGGGCGTGTGTGCAGGGCTTCGCAGGACTTGGGGTTACCTCATCGAGCCCAAACCCCGAAACGCTGAACCCTGAACTCTGTTTGGGGTTTAGGGCTTCCGGTCACTCTGTCGGCTAAGGAGAGCATCATGATTCTCTTCCCGGTGGCGAACATGCAGCAAATGGCTGCAGACGCCGAGCTGCGTTTGGTGGACTACGCCTCACACCCCAAACCAGCCCCAAACACCCTAAACCCCAAACCCTAAACCCTAAGCCCTAAACCCGAAGCCCTAAACCAGACCCTACACCAACCTCTGACCCTATATAAGCCCTCAACTCAATATGGCCCCATAAGCCGCATAATCTGGATCAAGATTTAGGTGCTGAGAAGGTAGCGTTTAACCACTTAACTAGAAGCACCCCACGAAACCCAAACACCCTCCTCGAAGCCCAAGGGTTAGGGCTTCTCCCCCCTGAGAAATTGAACTCGCAGAGCTTTTGGCTTTTAATCTTCCACCGCAAATCTCCCAAACCCTAAGCCCTAAACCCTAAACCCTAAACCCTAAACCCTAAACCCTAAACCCTAAACCCTAAACCCTAAACCCTAAGCCAAAAGCCCTAAACCCTAAGCCCGAAGCCCCAAACCCTAAGCCTCTGCCGAGGCCGGGTTGAAGCCGGCCGCCAAAGGTGAGCTGTACAAGGCCAGCTTTTGCGGGAGGGTGCCTTTTTTTGTTTTAAGGGTTTAGGGTTTAAGGGTTTAGGGTTTAGGGTTTTAGGGTTTAGGGTCTAGGGTTTAGGGTTTAGGGTTTGGGGTTACGGTAAGGGGTCTCGAAAATTTAGAGGGTTCTGTCAGGGTTTCGGGGGGTGTTATCCGGGGTTTATTCCGGGTTTACACAGGTTGTATGGGTTCTTTCTAGGGTGTTTATAGGGCTTACATAGAGTTGGTGGCGCTTGCATCTCGCGTTTACGGGGTGTAAGTGTAAGGCTTTGGACCTCAGACCCCCCAACCCCAAACCGCCAATCCTAAACCCTAATCCCTACACCCCAAACCCTAAACCCTAAACCCGAAACCCTCAACCCTAAACCCCAAATCCTAAATCCTAAACCCTAAGCATGCGGGTGGCTCCGCTCACGAAAGTGACCGGCCACGGCCCCCCACCAGGAGATAACCGCGAAAGCCCGCGAGACGGTGCTGAGGCGCTTCAAGGCCGCCCTAGGGTTTAGGGTTTAGGGTTTAGGGTTTAGGGTTTAGGGTTTGGGGGTTAGGGGTTAGGGGTTTAGGGTTTAGGGTTTCGTGTTTAGGGTTTAGGGTTTCGGGTCTTGACAAAAACATGGTAGCTCTGAACCCGCTGGATCCTAGCAACCCCAAGCCCCTCAATTTCTGACGGGTTCGGGGTTTTCAGGGTTCGGGGTTCAGGGTTCAGGGTTCAGGGTTCAGGCTAGACAGGATTCCCGAAAAGGGGCCCATAGCTTGGAGAAGCAACTGGGCCACAAACCTTTCTGAACCCCAAGCCCTCACAGGAGGCGGGCTGCGGCGACATCGAGAAGCACATCGTTGAAGAGACGGCTCCCCTGCCTGGAAACAACACTTGGGGCTTGGGGTTTAGGGATGTTTAGGTTCAGGGTTTGGGGTTTAGTTCGCTTATGGGTTGTGCAATATGTAACAAAGTGAGTGCACGAACGTTGTGCATGAACTATATGAAAAGTCTGAGTGTTCATGTGACTCTATTATTAAAGGCCTTATCTTCGGTTCTTCATTCATGGCGTGTTTCTTGGCTCTTTGAGTAGTGTCCTTCTTCCTTTCGCGCAGTTCCCTGTGAATGAACTCCAAAGACAAGGTGAATACTGTAGCATTATAGTTGTCTTGTTCCTTCCCTGGGTGATAGAGATAAGAGTGAGAGCACCAATCATGTGTTCGCAAGCCAAACCCTAAACCCTAAACCCTAAACCCTAAACCCTAAACCCTAAACCCTAAACCCTAAACCCTAAACCCTAAACCGTAAACCCTAGACCCTAAACCCTACACCCTAAACCCCAAACCCTAACACCCTAAACCCTAACACCCTAGCACCCTAACACCCTAACACCCGAACACCCTAACACCCTAACACCCTAACACCCTAACACCCCAACACCCCTACACCCTAAACCCCAAACCCTGAACCCCAAACCCCAACACCCTAACACCCTAACACCCTAACACCCTAACACCCTAACACCCTAACACCCTAACACCCTAACACCCGAAAAGCTTAAAAGGTGCGCGACCCCGAGAAAATCGGGGATCTCTACAACCTGGAGCATGGCGCCACCTTCGGCCTCTCAGAGCAAAGTTTTAGGGCTTTAGGGTGTTTAGGGTGTTTAGGGTTTAGGGTTTGGGGTTTAGGGTTTAGGGTTTTGGGTTTGAGGTTTGGGGTTTAGGGTTGAGGTTTAGGGTTTAGGGTTTTGGGTTTGGGGTTTAGGGTTGGGGTTAGGGTTCAGGGTTTAGGGTTTAGGTTCCCTTACAATCCCCTTTAAACCAAAAAGGTTTTTTTTTTCATTTCTAGGTGGCTCCTGGGTCTAGAAAGGCATTTGCGGGTTTAGCGGTGTTCAGGGTGTAGGGGTTTTAGGGTTTAGGGTTTTGGGGTTCAGGGTTTAGGGTTTTGGGGTTCGGGGTTTGGGGTGTGGGGTTTAGGGTTTGGGGTTTTAGGGTTTAGTTTTTGGGGTTCAGGGTTTAGGGGTTAGGGTTTGGGTTCAGTGTTTAAGGTTCGGGTTGCAGGGTTTGGGGCGTCGGGCATGTACTGAGGTTGGGGGTTTAGGGTTCAAGGTTTGTCCGTACTTGCTATGTTCTGCGGGAGGCTGTCAGCCACTTACAGCAATCATAAAACCCTAAGCCCTAAGCCCACAGAGCCCGCTACCTCGCAGTTGAGGTTGTGAGTATGGGTAGTTCTCTAGATTAGGCCCCTTTTCGGGGTCCTCCTATCAAGGGTGCCGTACTATATACTTTGTCACAGTGGGGTAACATTTTACATTTTTAAGGGTACCGAAGCTCAGCAAGGAATAGAAATTCAAGCTATGAACTTGTATAGGGGATCCAAAACGGGACCCTACTTAGATAACTGCTCATATTCCTCAGCGCACAGTCCTTTGTGGTACTTTGTGGTACTTTACTGTAACTTTAGATCCTGACCCTTTTTGGGTTATTTGGGTTTCTTAATAAGGCAGCCAATAGCTTAATTTTTAGCTACCCGCCTGAGTGCAGCCAAGTTAGGGCCTATTGTGTTGGGAGTATGGAGCTCTATGGGTAGCTCTATGAACCCTGGCACACCCTCAACCCGAAATCCTAAAACGCTACAACCTCGACACCCTCAACTCGCAATCCTCAAAGTTCTTAACCCCCAAACACACACAAAATCCGCTAACCTTCAACCCTCATCGCTGGAAATCCTTCACCTTAAATACGAAGACCTCAAAACCCTCAACCCGGAGCCCATAACCCTAAACTTACCCTAAACCCTAAACCCTAAACCCTAAACCCTAAACCCTAAACCCTAAACCCTAAACCCTAAACCCTAAACCCTAAACCCTAAACCCTAAACCCTAGCCATTGTGGCTCAAGCATATAGTCAGCTTACTTCGCCAGTGTCCCCCGCGTGCGTCGCGGGAAGCAACTATGGCGTCTTTTTGCGAGCAGATCCTTGCCGCGTTTTCTGGATGTTGCTGCGTTCGGGAGGATGGCGTGCGCGGCGGCGAATATGCTGCGCCCACGACGCCAAAGCTCATGCCGCCCCCAGAAACTCCAAAACCCTTAATTAAGGAATATACCTTAAATCATATTAGGGCTCCTATTAGGATTTAAGGGATATTCCTTAATTAAGGGGTTTTGGAGTCTCTGGGTCCAAGCAGTCCCACGGTGCAAAAAGCGAACATGCTTTGCGCGCCCCGCCCAAGCCCCCGCCGCCGAAGCAGCCGAGGTCTTCCGCTGCTGCGTTGCAGTGACCATGCCAGCGTCAGACAGGATTGACATGTATCATAGACGTTAACCTAGACTACTGCCCCTCCCCTAATACCCTCTTTTCCGGAATTTGTGCTAAGTCATGATGTTTAACTAAGCTGTCGTCCATCTACCAACGTAGAGGATGTAGTCTCACACTACCAAGGGCTGCCAGTACTTCGTAGTACTCCCCAATATAGATCAGGTCGTAGAGTAGTAAGATTTTGCCGTACAACACGGCAAAAACTTTCTATCGTAACCGACCACTGCGCCAGTTTAAAGGCTCACGCCAGTCGCGCAGATCCCAAGCCAATTTTTCCAGTTTGAATTCAGTGCAAAACGAAAAGCCCACGCTGCCTACAGGAGGCACGCCGGGTTCCGCTTCGGCAGAAAGCAAAGAGTGTTTCGCCCCACTTCATATTATGAGTTAAATTATGAGTGTGTTTCGTTCGTGCAATATATTATAATTCTTAACCACGCGTGAACTTGTGTTAATAATATTATTGCTCTCTCTTCACAGCGGGCCTCATGAAAAATTTACCACTTTTGGGCCGCAGATTATTAGTATTAATGGCGCTCGTAAAACTAATATTGGAGCGCCCCTAATGTCCCCGTTCACTTTGTTCAAGCAAGAAAAGCACGCGTCGTTTTCTCCTTGTCTCTTATTACGTTCACTTCGTTCTCTTGAAAATAGTATTATTACGGGTCCCGGTTTCGTTCATAGTACTATTACATCGTTCATGCGTGAACTTATAACCCCTAATACTACTATTCTCTTCACATAATGCGGCATGAACGCTGTGTTCCTTGGCAGTTAATTGATGGGGCGTTCACTGGTGTAGAAAAAGCCCTAGAAATTCAGTATTAAATTATGAGGGGCTTTTGGGACGCATTAATAATAATATCCCGGGCGATAATAAGAATACAATGTGCCCGGGGGTTATTACTATTAACAGGGCGTTTATGCTATTTAATAAGGGATTTTAAGAACGCCCGTATAATTATTAGTGTTGTCCCTGTGAACACAGATAAAGGCAAAGAGGGGGCAGATACAGCACTAATAATAATACCAGCGAATACAATGAGCGCACAAGGACACGAAGAGATAAAAGACAAGAATTGTGCACATGCTCGTAATAAATGTGCAAGAGATTAATATTATAACTGTGATAAACACGAATGCATTACCAACCTCTTCATTTGGACAACTTAATTAGTTTGAGCCCTTTTCGCAGGATAGTAAATTATAAGGGGATAAGGACGATATAAAAAGAGAAACCAAATTCTGGGATCTTGGAAATCTTCTCACTTGTTCCCTTCACTTTCTGGATTACTAAGAGCGCATGAATGAATGCCCGGTCACTTTTACTCTTTCTCACATTCATATCCTTGTTCGTTTACTCCTTCACTTCCGGATTATTAAGAGATTGAATGAATGAGTTCATGCGCGAGCGAATGTTGCAAGTGAACGACATGAATGAAAGAACGAAACGGGAACAGAGAAGAATATTATGAGTGAGAAAGGGCCCTATTTTTGTCACCCACAGGTAAAAGCCTATCCAGACTGTATCTGGCTCTTCTTTGGCGTCAAATGTCGTCCGTCTCACCACGTCAGGACGTCAAGTTCCAAAAATACAGCCTGGAAAACAACTGCGCCGCCTTTGTGCAGGCGGTCCTGAAGCTACAACTTTCGCCGTCGTGAGGCCAGAACACCTCGATTAAGAGAACAAAGCCGATTGACTGTATCGCGTACTGTTTTCAAAATTGTGCAGTGCTTCACTTCCGGTTGCAGGTCAAGCGGCAACCGAAGGTGTCATGCAGTCGTCTTCGTATGCGCATTCATCTGCTGCCGAACTTGAAAGTGCTGATGCTCAAGTCGTTTGCTCGTTCGTGCAGGCCGGCGTTGCAAAATGCACAGTAGAGTGCTAGAGAAGAAGCCATGACTTGTTGCAGGCTGAGTCGTGAAATTGGACGGCTCTGGTCCAAAGACTTCGGCAACCGCGCCCACAAGCCGCCAAAGCTCACTGCGTTGTTTGGCGAAGAAACGAGTAACACGGCTTGAACGCAATTGAACCAGCGTACTCTTGCAGTGCTTTACAGCAACGTTGTCTTGTTCAAAACAAGTCTATCCTGGATGGCTTTGTTTAGGCTCGCGTTGGCCGGAAGAGCTGGATGCGGTGATTGCCCGAGAAAACGGGCGTGTGGTTTATTGCAGCAAGTCGTTGACAGAGTCCCCTTCCGCACGTTTGCTGGCCAACGGCGCAAGCAACTACGAGAAGTTCTTCGCTCGTCTACAGTTGCTCCTATCACCAACTCCCTGCACTATCTCGTGGCCGAGCGAGCATGACGTCCAGTACTTGGAAGAGAACGAGAGCAAGAACGAGGCTGGGTGTTCGTGTTCTTTCGATCCTTGCAGCCGAGTCTGTGTCAGATAGTCAAGACGGCTAGGTTGGTGTGGATTACAGAGCTGGGCAGGTGGGCTTCGCAAGCGGTTGAGCGACACACACATACACTGGCAGTTTGCAGTACCGTTATGCTTTAATGCTTTCACATGATATGAAATAATAGCCAGGCAGAGATCGGTCCGGAATGTGCATTCGAATGTGGCTTCTGGAGTCGAGATGAAGTGCAGTTCCAGGGGGCTTGTTGCATTTTTTGACTACAGGTTTGACCTTACATGTACATCTCATCGAGTGTGTTGATGCTGTATGCACAGGTGCGAACGTAGTAGCTTCGTGTCCTTGTCTCATTTGGGACCCATGCCTGTCGATTCGTTACTGTCAACGGGCAGGATGATGGTGTCTTTATCTATCCATCGAAGCAGTTCCGCGGCTTTTTGCCGAAGATGGCGGGGAAGGTGAAAGTCTTCTTGCGGTGCTCAATGCTTTGCGTATTTTGTACAGCTTCGCACGGCAAGCTGATAGAATGCGCAGTTCATGGTCAGGTCAAGGGCATGATGCAGCTAAACCCTCTGCTGAAGGGACTGCTCATGCCGGCAGACTGCTGCAAAACGGACTGCCCAGACGACGATGAAGCTTTGAAGAGCGGTGTGGAGTTCGTAAAAACGTCGGAGAGAGTCATGAAGAAGCCGTGTCAGTGCCTCACGCAAGTGGAGTAAAGCAGGCACACATCTGTAACTTGCAGGTGAATAGTGTAAGTTGCCTGCCAGTGCACTGAAGGTTTGTCTCCGTCTTTGGCTGCTGTGATCATGCAGCGCATCGCTTGTGCCGGCACCGCAGCGATGCGAGCGAATCTACTCATTCGTTGGAAGGCAGATGTTGCATGAAGTCGCATGTGCATCTCACAAGGCCTTGATTGTACGAGTCGTGAACGTGCTAGTGTCAGTACAAAATTGAAGGAGCTCGTTGAAGATGCCAAGTACTACACTACGTCCACGCTAGAGGAGTATGCGTTCGGACAGGACCTTGAATTTCACTCAGTGTCCACGGCAAGCATAGGAACTGTTTGCATAAACATGGTCGTTTGGCGTCGACTCATTGCTCTTAAGATTCTCATCCAGGATCAACCGCCTACGAAAGACGATGCTTCCTGGCAACGTAGGCGAGTTCCGCATTCTCCGCCATACTCCCAGTGTATACATACTCACTGGCGACATGCTCCCTGGAAAGACTTTCATCGAACAATACATGGGTGGTATTTCCCACATCTACGTAGTGTCCTGGGGATCAAACATTCCTACTGCTCAAGGATGTCTAACGCTAAAGTCTGGAAACAGGCAGCAATTTCAGATGTTAATCAAATCAATGACTACGCCACAATAGCCAATGCACCGTGTGGTTTTTCCCCTGGCTTTACAGACAGGATCAAATTCACAAAATCGAAGTCGAGAGGCTGCCTGGGTGGATATTGGTACGAACTAGTCTCCAAAGAAGCTGTCAGATATTACCAACACCGTTTGGACTACCACGCCATGCCTGAAAGGCGGCGGAATGTCTTAGGACTCAAACAGTTTTTAAGCTTTGACCGCACGTTCGGCAATACCCTGACTACTGCACCTACGCGCACGCCGGAACTTTTTCCTTGTTCAGTACTTCAGTTGGAAGCGCGTGGCAAGCCTAAAAAAACAAACCCTAAACCCTAAACCCGCAACCCTCAACCCTAAACCCTAAACCCGAAACCCTGAACCCGAAACCCTGAACCCTGTACCCTGAACCCTAACTTCTAAACCCTAAACCCTCAACCCTCCATGCGAGGTCTGTCCCATGGGCTCCTTCCCTGGCAGGGAGGCCTGGCCATGACACGGCCGGCTCCCAGGGCCCCAGAGGCCAGGGTTTAGGGTTTAGGGTTTGGGGTTTGGGGTTTGGGGTTTAGGATTTAAAGCCAAGCTTCTTCTCGCACAGCCGAGGGCCCCAAGAGGCCCCAAAACGCCCGGAACAGCCCAGAGGCCCCGAGACCTGGGAAGCCCCAACACCAACCCCAAGAGGGCCCCAAAAAGCCCGGGAGACGCAAAAGGCTCGGACAAGCAAACAAAAACGTTTGAGTCAAAACTTTTCGGTCGAAACTGAGGGACCCAAACCCTATACAATTTCCACAAGCCCTAAACCCTAAACCCTAAGCCCTAAGCCCTAAGCCCTAAGCCCTAAGCCCTAAGCCCTAAGCCCTAAGCCCTAAGCCCTAAACCCTAAACCCTAAGCCCTAAACCCTAAGCCCTAAACCCAGTGGAGAACACCACTCCTAAAAGCCCCAGAGCTGCCTGCGACTCAGAAACTCCAATTTCCCCTGAGTCATGTAGGGTTTGGGGTTTGGGGTTTGGGGTTTGGGGTTTGGGGTTTAGGGTTTAGGGTTTAGGGTTTAGGGTTTTGGGTTTAGGGTGTAGGGGATCCTAGTATGATTTTCTGGAAGATGACTTTCTTTTAGGGGATGAACGCTTCTGGGAATGGCAGGTCGACCGGCTTTTCTTCGTGGGTGCCGGCACGCGGCCGGGCAACGGCGTGCCAGGGAACCCAGACTTGCTTTGTAGCCCAGTGGTTCCCCCTTTTCTTGGGGTGCTGGGGGGGGGGGGGGGGAAGGGGTGTTCGGGTTGTGTAGGGTTTAGGGTTTAGGGTTTTGGGGTTAGGGGTTTTGTTGGTCGCGTTTAAAGTAACCAACCCGAAGAAGCGTCCCCTTATCGTAGTATGGTTACTGGGCTGCTAAGCTGGCACTGCCCTTAAAGCTTAGAGGGTCTATCATGGTTTCTAGGGCTTATAGGGGTTTAGGAGGGTTTTTTGGGGTTTCTAGGTTTAGAGGGTTCATAAAGTTTTAGAGCGTTTAAGGGGTTTTAGGGGGATCGAATATTCGGTATCCTCAAGCAAACCCGAAACCTTAATCGCTTCCTCCTATCAGCAACCCCCCCCCTCCCCTTATAGAAAACCTCAATATAGGAAACAAGTAGGGGCTTCGGGTTTTTGGGTTTGGGGTGTCGGTTTGGGGTTTTAGGCTTGAATGATAAGGGTAAGACTTTAGGCTCTCGCGTTTTGGCTTTGGGCTTTGGGGTTTCGGGCGGTCACTTCAGGCTTTGGGCTTTAGGGTGTTGGGATTACCTGGTCGTCAGCGCTCAGCGCCGCCCTGCACTGTTGTTGCCTGCAGAGAGGGACAGCGGAGCCTGCTGTGCTCAAGCCTTTGCAGGCTTCAGGACCTCTATTTCAGGGCCTGGAAGGCGCAAACATCCACCCCGCAACAGTTTGTGAATCTTTTTGGAGGCACCCTGCGCCCCGAGGCGGAGGGGGCTAAGAATAGGGGGAAGGGATTATACCCGAAACGCCCAGCCCTACGGCCATGAAGGTGTTTTTGTTTAGGGCCTCGGGCCTGCCATCCACCTGTAATATTCGCACCCTAGACCCACAACCCGACTTGTAAGCCCTTCGGAGGTAGTAAGTAGGGTTAGTAAGGTGGGGTTATAGGAGTTATGAAAGGAATTCTTGGGGCGGGGGTTTACAATATTTGGGGACCCCTAATTTTAGACCCCCAAATCGTAGGATCCCCTTGGAACAAGGACCGAGGGTACGGTACCCCTACTTTCGCAAAGCCCCAGGGCTTCCTAAACCCTAAACCCTGAACCCTAAACCCTAAACCCTAAACCCTAAACCATAAACCCTAAACCCAAGACCCTAAACCCTAAACCCTAAACCCTACACCATCAACACCAGAGTGCGGCTTTGGGGCTCGAGCTCTCGCACGCTTGCGTGTTGCGCTTCTTGGTGCAAAAGGTCCCAAGGATCCAAGGATCCGGGTCGTTTCGTGTTTAACAAATCGGCCAGGAGCTTCTTCAAGGGAAGTGCCGTGCTGACCCAGGCATTTCACCCGCGCACTTTTGTCCCAACAGGCATGGAGGAGCGTATGGGTGCAGGGTGTGGGGTTTAGGGTCTAGGGTTTAGGGTTTAGGGTTTAGGGTTTAGGGTTTGGGGGTTTAGGGTTTAGGGTTTAGGGCTTCGGGTTTAGGCGATGAACTCATTTGCCTGAATCCTTGCCTCCTGCTTTCCTCGGCCCCTGCGTCCTCAGCCTTAAGCCTTGACCCCCTGCTGGGAGGTGTTTCGTACTTAGCAGCTGTACTTCTAGCCCAATTGTAACCCTCTTTGGGTACTTAAGCAGCTTGTAAGTGGGTTAGATTTACACTCCAAGTAAACCCTGAACCGGGAACCCTGAGCCCTGAATGCTGCAGGAGCAGCCGACAGCCCCGAATAGCATGGTCGAAGAGGAAGCGCCCCGCCGGCAGCTTTCCAAGCGCTGGGATTTAGGGTTTAGGGTTTAGGGTTTAGGGTTTAGGGTTTCGGGTCTGGGGGGTTTAGGGTTTCTTGTTCGTAGGTTCTTTTTCAAGCCTGAGAGCAGCACATTGCCTTTAGGGGTTGCTTGTCGGCTAGCGGCTGATTGCTTAGGGCTTGCTTTGGGGGTTTGGGGGGCCTTCAAGGTTTCAGGCTTTCTTAGGGCTTCTACTATCCCATATCCTTTTTCATATGCACAGCCAAGGACGACAGCAGTTCGTGCACAAGTTCTGGTGAGGGGTCGAAGGCCAGCGGCTGGGATGAACGCCTCACTCCACTCATTCAGTTCATCTCGAGGATGGAGCTCATGAGGCCGGAGGTTCTCCGAGGAGTTCCTGTGTCCCTTCTTGTTCATCTTCTTCCTTGGTACTGGTGGCGGGGATTTCCGATGACTTCTCTGAGCAAGGTGACACATGAGATTGATGAGTTCATTTCTCACAGCTGGCAAGCAGCTGCATGGCTGAAGTATGTCAACATCTTGCTTCTGTACCGGGCTTCTCCAGCCTTTGCCCTTTCCATGGCCTCCGCGCTCGCCGCGTTTCTGCTCTACGGCTTTGGTCTTTTGCCCCCCTTGGGAGCAACGTTTGTTTGCACCTGGTGCACGTGGTCAGGGATCACAGTCTTCTACCTTGCCCTGCTGTCGAGCCCGCGCTGCTCTAAGGTTTTTCTGGACATTGCATGCATAGACCAGGAGGACGAGAACAGGAAGTTCGAGAGCGTTGTCAGTATGGGTGGGGTCCTGAAGAGGTCGAAGTCCATGATGGTGTTATGGAGCCCGACATATGTGCGGAGGCTGTGGTGTGTATTCGAAACTAGGTAGACCCTTGAAGGACATTTTGTTTTTTCTCCTACTGGGTTTAAGAGGATCATACTCCTAAGCCCTAAACCCTAAACCCTGAACCCTAAAACCCTGAACCCTAAAACCCTGAACCCTAAAACCCTGAACCCTGAACCCTGAACCCTGAACCCTAAACCCTGAACCCTGAACACTAAACCCTAAACCCTAAACCCGCCCGCCACCCCACTCTCTTGTCTTTTGGGGTAGGCGGGCGCTGTGTGAGACCCTTCGAGGGAGTTTCAGGCGGGCGACCGAACTGGCCTCCCTGCACTGGCCCTGGCCCTTGCCAGGCCTTCCCCCTGCCCTCCTTGGCCCTACTGCCTCCCGGACCCCCATGGTTTCCGTGAGCTTTTGCGCGCTGTCTTCCTGCCTCCCTGCTGCACCAATCCAAGCTGTCCTGGCCCTGCTGCACAGCTTTGTGCTTGGTCCTTGGTCAGGTCTGCAGACTACTGCGCGCTCCCAAAGCGTGCTTCCGTTTGGCATGCCTTAAACCCTCAACCCTCAACCCTCAACCCTCAACCCTCAACCCTCAACCCTCAACCCTCAACCCTCAACCCTCAACCCTCAACCCTCAACCCTCAACCCTCAACCCTCAACACTCAACCCTCAACCCTCAACCCTCAACCCTCAACCCTCAACCCTCAACCCTCAACCCTCAACCCTCAACCCTCAACCCTCAACCCTCAACCCTCAACCCTCAACCCTCAACCCGCAACCCTCAACCCTCAACCCTAAACCCTAAACCCTAAACCCTACACCCTAAACCCTAAACCCTAAACAGAGGGTTTTAACGGCCATCCTAGGAAATGAGTGCCTTCCTGCACAGCCATGGCGGAGGTGCCAGCATGAGGATGTGCCCGCCCTTCCTGGGCCCCACACTACTGGGCGGGCACTTTGCAGCTTTGTAGAGTATTTAGGGTTTAGGGTTTAGGGCTTAGGGCTTAGGGGTAGCTGAGTGAGTACACTGTATGCACCTTTTGGGATACCATAGTCCCCTATAGAACTGGAAGTGTACACTTCTTGGAGGGCTTGTGAACTCAGCAACTCAGGCAGTCAGTGTGGGATCAATCCTCGTGCTACATTGGCCATGGGATTGGGTTGTTGGGCGGGCATTTTTCGGCATCATGATCGTGCCCCTGTTTACCGCCTGCGTGCACAGTTTGAGGGCATATTTCCTGAGCATCGACGTGCTTGACGAGCAGCTTCGCCATTTCTCGGTGGACCATTGCTCGAGTTCCTGCTGTGAAGAGGGACATCCTGACAAGCGGCTTTGCGACCGAAAGGTACCTCTCATTGACTTGTTTAGGGTTTAGGGTTTAGGGTTTAGGGTTTAGGGTTTAGGGTTTGGGGTACTTATCCGCCTGCTTCATGCTCTCTGTTGCTCAATGGCTCGTGCTCTCTAGCAATGTGCAATTACAAACCTAGCAGTCTGGCAGGGGTTGGGGGCTGTCTTGGTTTTGGGTTTAGGGTTTAGGGTTTAGGGTTTAGGGTTTTAGGGTTTAGGGTTTAGGGTTTAGGGTTAGGCTTTAGGGTTTAGGGTGTAGGGTGTAGGCTTTAGGGTTAAGGGTTTAGGCTTTAAGGTTTAGGGTTTAGGGCCAGGTGCTGCTCCAGTGCATCTCGCAGTGGTTTGGAACCATCCGTGCCTTCGAGGCCTGTGTGCAGTCCGATACGTGGCAGCCCAGTGGTACCCTTTTCCTTTTTTTTGAAGATGGGGGAGGGGGTAGGGTTTGGGGTTTAGGGTTTAGGGTTTAGGGTTGAGGGTTGAGGGTTGAGGGTTGAGGGTTGAGGGTTTCGGGTTTCGGGTTTCGGGTTTCGGGATAAGGGGTTTTGTTGGTTTAAGGTCCCCTTGTAAAGTAGCCAACCCCCAAAAAAGGAACCCTTCTTGTAGTATGGTTGCTGGGGCTGCCAAGGATGTACGTGCGCGGATGTACCGCCAGTTGGCAAACGAACCCGGATTGGGTTCAGGAACGTTGTGCAGAATACCGGAGCAACAAATGCTATGTGTTAGTTTATTCCATATAGTCCAGTATGGTCCTAAAACCCTAAACCCTAAACCCTAAACCCTAGACCCTAGACCCTAAACCCTAAACCCTAAACCCTAAATACTATGGTCAGTTTCCGTTCCTTCGCAGCCCAGGATCCACTTGCCTATCGCCACATCGTCTTGACCTCCAGAACCTTGTTGCGATGAGACGCTGTTGAGCTTTGCATTTTTTTAGGCAGTGTCAACATAATCTGTAGCCACCGGGCTCACCCGCCAACCCCCAAACCCTAAACCCTAAACGGTTCAGGGTTTAGGGTTTAGTGTAAATCCTAAACCCTCAATCCTACACCCTAGCACATCCTGTGCACAGCCAAAGCCTGTCAACCCGAAGAAAAGCTGGGTATCCCATACACCGTATGCGCCCCGACACATCGTAGCAGCAAGCTGCCAACTTCCAACAGCCGCACAGCTCCTAAACCCTAAACCCGAAACCCTAAACCCTAAACCCTACACCCTATTCCCTATTCCCTAAACCCTAAGCCCTAAACCCTAAACCCTAAACCCTAAATCCGAAACCATAAACCCCAAACCCTAAACCCAAACCCCAAAACCCTAACCCTAAACCCTCAACCCTCAACCCTAAACCCTAAACCCTAATCCGAGCATCTATCTGTTTAATTACTACCTCCACATTTAAAAGAGTTTTTTTTCGTCGAACGTCCGACTCCAAGACTACTTTCCATTACGGGGGTTTTGGCATTGGGAACTACCGCCACATTTAAAGAAATTTTTCGGGGGGGGGGGGGGTTCAAAACTCCTTCTGCAGGCTTGTTTTTTTGCTTGCTGAGCTGCATACATTACTATTGTCTCCAATACTTTCCCATTGTTTTTAAGAGAGAATCAATACATTGCCATGGTCTTATTCTTGCGGCGCCCTGCCTTTCTTATTGCGGTGGGGGAGGGGGGGGGCACCAATTAAACAGATGCTCGGATTAAACCCTAAACCCTAAACCCTAAACCCTAAACCCTAAACCCTAAACCCTAAACCCTAAACCCTAAACCCCAAACCCTAAGCCCTAAACCCCAAGCCCGAAGCCAGGTCCCATTCTGTGGGCCTTGATGGACATGGTCTTCGGTTCCAATCCCGATAAGATCCGGAGCTGGGAGAGGCAGGTGGTGGAGCTGTGCCGGCCGCTTGCGTACTGGCTTGGCGCGCTCCCTTTTTTGGCGACCTAGTAGCTGAGTGAGCACACTTTACACCTTTTGGGATACTAATAAATCCCCTATAGAGCTGAAAGTATACACTTTTTTGGGGGCTTCTGAACTCAGCAACTAAGGCGAAGATTGTGTTGCACACCGCCTACCGCCTCAGGGCCCGGTGCCGCAACTTGGTGGAGCAGCGGTGCCCTTTTGCCCTTTTTTGGGGTTCTGGGTCGTTCCTGTTTAAACAAATAGCCAACCCCAAGAGGGGTACCCAGGTTGTAGTATGGCTCATATGGTTAGTGGGCTACAAAGGCAACACGTGCCTAGATGTCCTACTGTCCGCGGGCGCGGTTGTCTTTGGAGTCTCGATATTTCTGGTGGTCAATATCTTCGAGGAGACAGTCCTGAAACGTCTGCTGCTACCCGGCAAGGCGCACCGAACACACCGCGCGGTGCTTTTCCTCAGTGTCTGCCTGCTCTTGGCCGCGGTGGCATGGTGCTGCATGCCTCCGATTCGGCCCCAGCGCCCTGTCAAAACTGTTCATGTGCCAGCTGAGGTGCAGCACAACTTCAATTTTCCAGACCCAACTCCGGTAGGTAGGTGCGAAGGGTCGAAAGTCAAGATGTCGCTATGACACCTGAGCTTGTCTTTGACAAAAAGCCTTGCACCGGCAAAGCACAGGGAAAGCCTGACACCCCCGGACCCTAGTAAACCCGGCAGCCATGAACCTATTTACTATTAGTCGCCGCCCCGAACCTTCACTCCAAACCGCCCAGCTAAGCCCCTAAACCCTACACCCTAAAGCCCTAAACCCTAAACCCCAAACCCTAAACCCTAAACCCTAAAGCCTTATTAAGCCTTCAACCCTAAAGCCCTAAGCCCTCAACGTCCTCCACAAAACTTCGGCTCCAATTCGATGCCGTGTTGCAACGAGCTCGAAAGGCTGTGCTGCTTACGGTTCATGGTTTAAGGTTCAGAGCCAAGAACCTTAGTGTTTAGGGTTCAGGGTCTAGGGTCCTAAACCCTGAACCCTGAACCCTAAACCCTAAACCCTAAACCCTAAACCCTAAACCCTAAACCCTAAACCCTAAACCCTAAACCCTAAACCCTAAACCCTGAAGGCCACACGGTAGGGAAAGGGGTTAAGGGTTTGGAGACCCTAAACGCTAAACCCTAAACCCTAAACCCTAAACCCTAAACCCTAAACCCTAAACCCTAAACCCTAAATCCTAAGCCCTAAACCCTAAACCCTAAACCCTAAACCCTAAACCCTAAACCCTAAACCCTAAACCCTAAACCCTAAACCCTAAACCCTAACTGAGGGCTGCTAGCAAGGATTGTTTTGCTACCTCAAGCGCCCACAGGACATGAACCCCATGACTCGAGTACGATCGGTATCAGGGTTTAGGGTTTAGGGTTTAGGGTTTAGGATCCAAACCATCCTTACTTGTTGCACGTGGTGGAAAAAAGGTCATGGCCTCAGGCTTGGGGTTTGAAACCCTAAACCCTAAACCCTAAACCCTAAACCCGAAACCCGAAACCCTAAACCCTAAACCTTAAACCCGTAAACCCCTAGGCTACTAGAGCCCTAACGCATGTAAACAAATCCTTATTTTCGTGGTTTCCGTTCTTAAGCAAATTCTAGGTTAGGGCGCCCGTAATAAGGGCCCGAAAGGCTTCAACAAACCTGTAAGAACCCAAATGGAAGGTTTTGCACCCCAGAGCCGTAACGGCCCCCCTTAAACCCGAAACCCTAAACCCCAAACCCTAAACCCTACACCCTAAAGCCCTAAGCCCCAAACCCTAAACCCTAAACCCTAAGCCCTAAACCCTAAACCCTAGACCCTACAACCTAAAAACACCAAGCCCTCAAGGCCCCTTGTGCTCATGGGCGCTGGACTCACCTCACAGCCACTCTGCTTGGATTCAGGTTTTAGGGTTTAGGGTTTAGGGTTCAGGGTTTTAGGGTTTAGGGTTTAGGGTTTAGGGTTTTGGGGTTAGGGCTTCAAGGGTGTAGGGCGGTGTAGGGTTTGGGGTTGCTATTAGGGGGGGGGTTTAGGTTTAGGGTCTCTCGCCATGTGTATACATTTTTCATGTATACGCAGACGGCTATGCATTGAAACAGACAAAATATGCCCCGGCCAATGTCATTATGGATTCATACCTCCTCCTCCTCGTCATCGTCATCATCGGGGTTGGGCGGCTTCTGTTTTTTTGTAAATATCACCTGTGTTTTTGGTGTTGATTGGTGAAGGTTCTTGCTGTCAGAAATGATGATCTCAGTCCATTTGTATGTTGTTTGTGCCCTAAACCCTAAACCCTAAACCCTAAACCCAAAACCATAAACCCTAAACCCTTAACCCTTAACCCTTAACCCTAAACCCTGAACCCCAAACCCCAAACCCCAAACCCTAAACCCTAAACCCTAAACCCTAAACCCTAAACCCTAAACCCTGAACCCTTAGTTTCTGGCGCAGGTCTTCAGGGTTGTAGCGTTTGGTTTGTTGCTTGAAACCCTATCCCCTAAGACCCTAAAACCCTAAAGCCCCTAAGCCCTACAACCCGAAGACCCTAAAACCCTAAAACCCTAAAGCCCTAAACCCTAAAACCCGAGCATCCTAAAATCCTAAAGCCTTAAAACCCAAAACCCAAACCTTCAACCTGCCCGAATTGTTGGGGGGGGGGGGGGGGGGGTGCGACTGGGCTGAGTCTTTGGGTTGAGGGTTTGGGGGGGGTTCGTCCCACATGTCACGCAAACCCTAGACCCTAAACCCTAAACCTAAACCCTAGACCCCAAACCCTAACCCCTAAACCCTAAACTCCAAAGTTTAAGGCCCTAGAACCCTGTAGCCCCAGGGCGTAGACTTCCCAACCATCTCCAGAGCGTTTGTTCAAGGTTGAGAGGGCTTTAGGGTTTAGGGGTTTTGGGTTGAGGGCCCTGAATCCCCAACTCCTCCCTGGGCTTCACACCCAGAAATGGCACGTACGTGCTGTTCCGAAGCCCTCCGTACAGGTGTAGCGTTTGGGGTTTAGGGTTTAGGGTTTGGGGTTTGGGGTTGGGGGTTTAGGCTTAGTGCTTGGGGTTTGGGGTAGCGAAGCCCCGAACCCTTACAACTAGGGTTTACTTGAACGCTCAAGGGTACTTATGCCTGGGTTTAGGGTTTAGGGTTTAGGGTTTAGGTTTAGGGTTAAGGGTTTGTAAGGACCCTAAATAACCCATGAGGTTGAGGGTTGCAAGCCATGGTGTCAAGCTGTAGGCTCATACTCGACGAGCTGTCTGAGGCCAAAGTTGCGTCTCGCCTGTGTTTGATTCGAGCGGTTCAGGGTTTAGGGTTTAGGGTTCAGGGTTTAGGGTTTAGGGTTTAGGGCTTGGCTTTCGGGGGCAGCTGTTGGGCTTGTCGGGCAGTTTTGGGGGGCTTGCTGTGACTTGGCGCAGAGGCGGTGAATACAACCATGCAGGGTGGGACCCCTTCACCTGAAAGGTTCTTCCCTACCTAAAAGTCAGGTTCTAAGGCCCCCGAAGAAGGCTGTAGCCATCATACGTGCAGCTGCACGACGTATCTCTAAGGGTAGTTTCATGGGCCCTTATTGCGGTCCCTTACCTTCTTTAAGGGGTTCTGGGGTTTTTATGGGGTATGTAAGGGGTCTATACCAAGGGACCATGCCTTCAGGTCAAGCCTATGGTGCCGCAGCCAGCATTGCTACATCTCTAACTCTAACACCTTATCATCCTAAACCCTAAGCCCTAAGCCCTAAGCCCTAAGCCCTAAACCCTAAACCCTAAACCCTAAACCCTAAACCCTAAACCCTAAACCCTAAACCCATGCTTCCCACCCCTTAACGCCTTGCAAGCCCCAGGACCCCAAAGCCACACAGCCGCGAAACACCTCCCAAAAAAAACAAAACTCTGAACAGGAGAGCCCTAAGTAAACTCTCTGAACCTCCGAGTTTAGGGTTTAGGGTTTAGGGTTTAGGGTTTAGGGTTTAGGGTTCAGGGTCGAAGGGTCAAGGAATCCCCCAAAGCCTCCGAGCCCCTCTGAACCCAGGCCGCCAGCGCCCTGTGAACTTGGGGTCCTCGTGGCGGTGAGATTTAGGGTTTAGGGTTTCGGGTTTATGTTTAGGGTTTAGGGTTTAGGGTTTAGGGTTTAGGGGGTTTAGGGTTTAGGGTTTAGGGCTTAGGGGTTTCGAGTTTGCTTTGGCTTGGTGGGCGCTTGATATGTTTCCATTGTCAGGGTCAGATAAGAGGGGTTGGGGGTTAAGGGGTTTAGGCGTTTAGGGATTTAGGCGATTAGGGATTTAGGGTTTAGGGTTTAGGATGGTCGCATGCCCCCCAAAATGACCACTTTTTTTGCCCAATTTTCGGCTCCAACTTAGATTTTCCATCAGATGCCCCCTGCCGACGAAAACTCTGTGCACGGACCGCGCAAGCAGGTGTTACGTTTACGGGTACCAAACCCTCTTAGCCTGAAGCCGTAAACCCTAAACCCTAATCCCTAAGCCCCAAGCCCTAAGCCCTAAACTCCAAACCCTAAACCCTAAACCCTAAGCCCCACAACCTTTACCCTTCGGCCCTACATCTCTAAACCACCCAAGACGTTGAGGACACAAGTCCTTGGATCCCCGAGCACCAGGGTTTCGGGTCTAAACCCTAAACCCTAAACCCTAAACCCTAAACCCCAAACCGTAAACCCTGAACCCTAAACCCTAAACCCTAAACCCTAAACCCTAAACCCTAAACCCTAAACCCTAAACCCTAAACCCCAGACCCTAGACCCTAAACCCTATTCAATCATACCCTCAAACTCTTGGTAAACCCGAAGCCCCAAAGCCGAAACTCGAAACCTGCAAACCAGAAGCGAAAATCCTGTAAGCCTCTCAAGCAGCGTCAGAGTAAACCCCAAGCCCCTGTTGACTCGACGTGTCCAACCCTGAAACCCTTAAGACCCTGACACCTCAACCATAAGCCCTAAGACCCGAAACCGTAAGCACAAGCTTGAAACCCGAAATCCTGAGCCCTGAACCGTAAACCCTGCACCCTAAATCCTAGACCTTAAATCATTCCACCCTGAATCCTAAACCCTGAACACTAAACCCTAAACCCTGGACCCTAAACCCTAAACCCTGGACCCTAAACCCTAAACCCTAAACCCTAAACCCTAAACCCTATAAACCCTAAACCCTAAACCCTAAACCCTAAACCCTATATAAACCCCAAACCCTATATAAACCCTGCACCCTACACCCTACACCCTACACCCTACACCCTACACCCTACACCCTACACCCTAAACCCTAAACCCTAAACCCTAAACCCTAAACCCTAAACCTAAACCCTAAACCCTAAACCCTAAACCCTAAACCCTAAACCCTAAACCCTAAACCCTAAACCCTAAACCCTAAACCCAGCTTGTAGGGTTTAGGCTTTAGGGTGTTGGATGTCAGCGTTTAAGGGAGTTGCACATGAGACAAGCCCAGCGCCCACCCTAAGCCACTTGCTGTTGGCTAGTAGGGAATGACAGAATGAACTACTCTTGTAGGTACTATAGCTACCGTTCTTTCATTCCCTACTAACCAACAGTAAGTTAGCCCTAAACCCTCAATCCTAAAAGCAGTCCCTGCCTGCAGAATGCCGCG